TATACATATACATATACACATATGTATACATATAGTATATAATAACAAATGTGAAACAATCTTTTATTATCTCAGCATTTATACATTTTTGCTTGAACATTTCATAATTTGCTTTGTGTTTTACAGTAGCTAGGATTACTGATACATTCAATTTACTACAGTGGCAAGGACATGAACGTAATCATGCACTGTTTGAAAGGTGAGAAAGCCTGGAAGTATTAGCAGCTTTAAAAATGCTCTTCTGTTAGCTACTAAACGTGGGATCATGTTACGGAAAAGAACAGTTTGAYACTAACAAGTTGAACAGCAGCTTGCCAAGATATTTTTAAGTCTGAAGACAACTGCAGAAAAGTGCCATAAAGACATTTGGCCAAGACTATCTCCTTGCTAGGACAGAAAAACAGTATCATGTAACTGACTCAAGCAACTGTCTTTCCTTTCAACATATCCATTTGTGCCTTCAGTAATTTATTAGGCTTACTAAAGCTACATAGTTAAAAATAAAGAAAATAGACACTCTTCCTTTTGTTCATGTTAGACACTGTACTTGTTTGCCCTATATGTTCACAAGGTTACTGTTGTACTTTTGTTTTAATTAATGTTGAGATATATCAAAAATGCAGTTAAACCATTATTATTATGATTATTTTAATAAAAAATAATTTAAACATCATAACCAATAAGGGTTCTGTTTGTTGTTTAATCCTTCGACCGGTCATATGAAGGTTGATATCCCTGAAATAATAATCCCTCTAACTACAACATAAAATACTTTGTTTGACAATGCAATTTCAAAACATCAAAACAAAAGTGCCATCTTTGTTTTACAATGAACTCTTAGCTGTAATTGTGAATTCAGTTTTTATTCACTGTTATGGTAATTGATGATGTCCCGGCATCTCTAGCATTTTGTTTACTGGTACAGAACTTATTTTGGGTGTCATTCCAGCCTAGTAGGCAACTGTTAGTCCTCTCCATTCCAAGATGACATATAATCTCTCCTCAGCCTTCGTGGAATGGTTCTCAGCCCTATTTCATTTCAAACAGCTGAGAGACCGATTCCCCGTACAGCTGTATATAACTGACATTCACATGCTTCTTCAACACCACAGCCGGGGTCATAATATATTCAACCGTCTTTTATTACCTCACTGAAGAGGATTAAGAAAGATTAATTTATTAATGAAACATGTATTTTATAGACATGCACTGTTAATGAGAAAGCATTAATCTATCCATCCACTCTGTGCTGTTCAGGGTATCAGGTGGACTGCCAACTGTTATCAGGTAAAAGGCAAGGGTACACTGTACATGTCACCAGTTCTAAAAGGGCTAACACAGAAGAACATGAAATAACAACACGTTATACTCACACTAACTCCTAGGGAATCTATCCTTTTAACATTCAAGTGTTTGGAGAATATGCAAACTTCACACATAAAGGCCTACATGTCTAAAAGTACCAGATCCCCTGCTGTGAGGCAACAGTTCCAGTAGAGCTCAAACAATATAAACCCTAGAACATTTACTTGTACATTTGCCCAGTGTAAAAATAACATAGCTAGCCATATACAAGAGCCCATATGTCAGATCTTTTGTCATTTGCTGCAGCCAGTTTAATTTAACTACAGCAGCAAAATGGGATTAGGTTCACTGTTTATTTGGTTTGAATGTTAAAACCATAGACTGCTTTTTAAAAACATTTTAGCAGTTTATTTGGCATGCAGCTTATTTTCAAATTCCTAAAATGTCAATCATTTGGTAGCAGAGTAAACAGTTTTATTTTTATCTGCAAACAATGCATTACATCTTGAAAAAAAATTGTAGTAAGCTCTTGCCGACACCAGAGCTCAGAAGACAAGTTACAATTCACACTGTGTACAAAACTTTTAATCACCAATGTCTTTCATAAAACTAGAATCTAAATTCAGTAGGATCTTATTTTTGTAGATGCTTGAAAACAACGACAAACATTTTTCAATGTCAAGTTTTTTCCAAGGTAATACCAACATTTCATATTTATTTTCTAGTCAACTCCATGATATAAAACATAAATAATTATATGAAACAATGCTTTTTATCTTTCTTCCCAGCCCACTTTCCTTTTCCTTGCTCTGATTTTTCCTTTGCTTTTCCAGAAGCCCCTTTGCATTTTTCTCCTTGAGCGTTTCCTTTTGGCATCTGAGCTGAATGGTGTATCTTTTCATTTGAGGAGGAGGAGCAGTCTTCATCAGGACTGACAGAGGTRGTCAAAGGCTTCCCTTTCTCATCCAGGCAAGTTTCAGGATGTGCTTTACTACAGTAGGGAGATGAAGGACGTGAATGAGCTTTCCTGGGACTTGTATGGCCTGGAGGGCAATGCTTGGACTGAGCATCTTTTTTAGGGACAAGGTTTAAGTCTAAAGATAGGGGTCTACCAACTACAGGACTCAGGGGAATCACAACATTGTCTCCTGGAGCACCAAGAGTTAAAAAGACTTCTGGAATCTGAATGTCATTCTTCTGTCCCTGAAAACACACATACACGCAAATTAAAAACAAAATGTTTTAAGATTCAACATGCTTAAATTTTTCAGTACGCTGAGGAAGAACTTACCRGTTGTGGTGTTATGCTCACTGACACTTTCAGTGTCATCTACATAAAAAAATTAAATAAAAATATTGTCAAACTCATAGTATGCCCATGGCAGCAAGTTTTCTGGTGGCCTTCTGCAAACTATGTCAAAGTCTAGACCCTTACCCATTTGTCTTAAAGAAAAAAACATCCATACCCTTACTGAAACCAGTGTGTGATAACCTGTGCATCATATGACTCCATTTCTTGACAGTCATTACTATCAGATCAGATTGTGCCATCACTTTATACTACTAAACAAACAAACTATGTATCTGTCTTGTTTTATTTACCTGTGCTGTTGAGTCTTGATTCTTTTGAAATTCAGTCTCAGGAGTAAACGAGGCAGATTTGGGTAGGGTCGAGGTAGGACCAGAATCTGTACAAGTAGTACGGCTGCAACAGTCCTTCCTCGATGTGGCAGGTGTTCCTTCGTCCACCATGATAAGTGGTGGTGATAGCTAAGAAACAGAATATTAAATAAATGTGGTGAAGTGTTCAGATATTTTACAATTATACAACATAAAACAGGAGTATTTTTTTTTGTGCAAATACAGCATTTCACAATCAATATGGCTTTCTTTGCATAAAACACTGCTGATACCCTTTGTTAACATAATTAAATCTAACAGTAATTTAGACCAGGAAAAGCTGAGCAACTCAATTTGTGAAACTATGACTTAAAAAAAAAAACACATTTATCAAACAATCCAAAAATTGATTTGTAACTTAGGATATCAGTATAGGGTGCCGTTTGTAAAGTTACACAGTCAAAAATTACCACCAATATTTTTGTTTTATTTAGCCTTTTTTAAGAAAAAAAGAACAGATTTATTTTTCAAAGTCAGTTTTTCACCATATGATTCATACATTTACAAATGTCAGTTAACAAGCTATATATTTAACTTGTGACTTAAATAATTGATTTTGAGCTAAATGTTTAGCTTGCAACTTAAATATTTAGCTACCTAAATATTTAGGTTGCAACTTAAATATTTAGCTAG